ACTGGGGAGGGACTTCTTCGCCCTGAGGAGGATTACCAGACGCCCCCACAGAGTTTACAGACTCCTGATGATCAACACCAGACTGAACACGATGTTTTAACTTTAACCGCTAATCAGACTCTAAGTGCAGAAACCGAGTAGAGCCAAGAAAAGAGCTCCATGTGTCTGACTGTGAAGATCAGCGTGCTCTTTAGACGAGTTCATATAAAGGAAAAAGTCAGAGAATGTAGACAGCTGGTCTTTGTTAGTGCTGGCTGATTGATCAGTTCGGTGTCAGAGACCCTCATTCAGCTCCACGCTGAAGAATCGGTTCTTTTATTGTGGCGAGCCAGAGTTTGACCCCAAGTTCCTGCAGCTTCACACTCTGTTGGTTCTGGTGACTCCTGACATTCTCAGGATGAAAAGCACATCTGAGTTCTGGTAAAAACTGACACCAGATCAGTTTTACATCCATCCAGGTGTCACAGTCTAAAGAATAATTCTGTTTTTTTTGTTCTAATTTGAGACAACAGCAGAAAGGAGTCAAAACTATTTAAAAGAGACGTGAAACAAGATGAACGAGACGGAAAAAGAAAATAAAAATCACAAAATGATGAAAAAAAAGTAAAACACAAAATGACCAACATGAGAAACAACACAAGCGAGACACAACAATAAACATAAAAACTTAAACAAAAAAATCGAGACGGACACAAACAAGATTTTTTTTATTTTTTTTTCAAAAAAGGCAAAATTACAAAAAGCAAGACAAAAAAAAGAGACACAAAATGATAAAAGTTTGACCAAAAAAAAGACAAAAACTCAAACAAAAATCCGTTTTCCATCCGTCCAGGTGTCACAGTCTAAAGAAAAAATCTGTTTTTTGTTCATTTTCTCTTTAACCAACTTTAAGCATCAGTATTATGGGATGTATCATATTCTGAACAGTAAAGCTGCACCTTGACTCAATCAGAAACTAGTTTTTCTACAGAGTGAATCACGTCTATAGATGATCTTCTGGTATCTTCTGGAGGTAAAAATGATCCTTTCATTGTCTAGAACTTGTTCTGACCAACCACCATCACATATGCTGGTATCAGCCTGGAAAGTTTACCCAGAATGCACTTCTTAAAGTTTTCTCTGGTGAATGATCAGAAAACACAAATTTAATTAAAGCCGCAAGCGGCGATGGNTCCAAAAATCCAAGATGTCAACCAGGAAGTAGCAAAACCCTGGCTTCATTTTCTCAGTGCAGAAACCAACGGGTGACGTCACAGCAGCTACGTCCATCTTTTATACAGTCTGTGGGTTAAACCGACTTCTGTCATTTAGCTTCTAAACTCTGTGTCGTCTGATTAGCTGCCTGTTGACTTCTTCAGCCTCATTCTGAGTAACAAACCTGCAAACCAGCTTTAAAGCGTCGCTATCCAACGTTAATCTGTTATCATTTCTGAACCAGGATCAGATTGTGGAGCTAATAAAGGTTGGAGCTCGTCCTGGAGCAGGTGGAGCTTTGAAGTGAGCTGATGGGACAAAGTGCAGACGACACACGTGTGCAGCTTCTGTTACACAACGATCGATCGGCCGTTCGATTGATCGGCGCCGTGACGTCACCGACAGGAAACAGCTCGCAGAGGCAATGTGGCTTCGGCTGCGAGCCTTCGTCTGGAGGTGGACTGAAGTTTGTGCCGAGTTGCAGGATCCGTCTGGTTTCTGATTGTTCTTTTGGCTGCAGCTGCTCGCCGTCGAGCCAAAGTGACTCATCTCAGCGTCCATTATCTGGATGAGAAACTCGTCATGACGTCATGCTGCTCCACAAAGTCACAGCGTCCTGCTTTACCAGCAGCAGCAGCAGCAGCACGTCAGCGCTGTCCACTGCAGATTTCTAACATTCTTAAAGGCCGACGCGGTAAAAAAAAAACAAAAAAAACACGTGCGGCTCAACACACAAAAACATTCTGCAGCTTGCATCAGCCTTTGTCAACAAAGTGCATTAAACTGCTGCGATACATCCCATAATACTGATGCTACCAGCTGGTTACAGAGGAAATGAACAGAAACCAGACCCAGTGTTCAGACTGTAAAACAGATTTTTGTTTGTTTTTCATCATGTTGTGTCTCATTTTGTCTTTTATTTTTGTCATCTTGTGTCTTTTGTCAAATTTTTTGTCTTTTGTTTCTCACGTTTGTCATTTTTTATCTCGTTTTTGTCGTTTTGTGTCTCTTTCTTGTGTTGTTTTCCTTGTTTTGTTGTTTGGGTCAGGCTTTTTTTCATCGTTTTCGTTTTCGTGCTTCTTTCTGAAAGTTTTGTTTCCTTCCTGTTGTTTTGACTCGTATTTGTGTCATTTTGGAACAAAAACCAGATCCAGTGTTCAGACTGAGACTCCTGGATGGATGTAGAACTGATCTGGTGTCAGGTTCTACCAGAACCCAGATGTGTTCTTCCTCCTAA